TATCAAAACGTTAGTAGAACAGATGTTCACTCTGTTAGTTTTTTTCTATGTTTTACTCAGAATGTCAGCCATCCCCATTATTCTTTCCTTTTTCATATTTCTTTTCTAAATACAGCGATATCTCTGTTAARTGGAGAACTTTAGGACCTTGTCTGGTGTCTACTTATATTATATAGTTAGGATAGTACATGTGCACTTAGTGAACGGAGCRCAGTGCTGATGTCATCCGTGCGTACGAAGTGCTGTTAGATCCTGAGACCGTCTTTCTTTTTGCGCAAATGAATTCAATACCGAAAAAAATTAGTAACTATATAATAAAACGAATAAAACAGCTTTTTTGTGCTGCCATTCAGTAATAAATCACTTAGGAAACGCCGTAAGCACACAAGAAGTGTGAGAAGCACTCGTCTACGGCTTGTGTTTCTCCTTACACTTCTTTCGTGCTTATGTCACTTCCTGCGTGCTTTATTACTGAACGGAGCACGGAAAAAGCTGTTTTATTTATTGAATAGATGGTGTCTGCTTATTTGAGGTTTGTTTTACAGAAATATAGGAAGAAAATTACAACTGTGCAACTGTCCTTCTGTTGAATAAAGGTTTTTCAACTTAATAAGAGTGATCATTGTACATCACTGTCAGTGCTTGTGGCATTGTCCTGACTACCCCCTACAGGTTACCTTTAGTCTTTTAAGCATCACGTTAGAGAACGTTCTCTTGCCTTTCTTCTCAGGAACAAGACGGTTGAACAAAGCCTGCACAAAAACACAACATTGTTTTGTTATCACTACCTAATGGTGGTATTTTTTCTTAACTCTTATAGTATCTCAAAAAAATGACGTTTCACTGCCTTTTTTGCTTATAGTTGTATCAAATCAGACCATTGTTACAGCCTACATACCTCATCCTTCTGAGTGGCTTCATGGAAGATTCTTGTATCGATGGCAGCAGCTATAAGAATAAACCATACATTGTTTTAATACAATGCACATGAACCAAAAAACTTATTTCAAACTGTGATCATGACAAAAGTAAAGAGAATTGTATTGTCACATAAGAAAATAGCTTACCAAGCAAGTTGTTTGCAGCAGTAATGGCATGAATGTCACCCGTCAGATGAAGGTTGAACTATACAAAACAAGAATTAACAATGATTCCTCTTAAAAATCCCAATTTCTAACAATTTGATATTATTCACATTTACCTCTTCCATTGGAATGACTTGAGAGTACCCTCCACCAGCGGCACCACCTGAACAATCAGGATTAAGGAGCATTTGATCAGTGACGCACACCAATATATCCTCCTCGGTCTCTCTCCACCCCTTGGGAAATTCCAATCCCCCTAAATGGGGGAGGTATGGATATTTTCTGGTACTACACAATATATCCTCCTCAGACCCTCCCCACTCCTTGGGAAATTCCAATCCCCCTCCATGGGGGAGGTATGACTATTTTCTAGTATTACACAATATATCCTCCTCAGACCCTCCCCACCCCTTGGGAAATTCCAATCCCCCTCCATGGGGGAGGTATGGATATTTTCTGGAACTACACAATATATCCTCCACAAACTCTCCCCACTACTTGGGTAATTCCAACATCTCATTATGCAATGAGGGTGTGGGGATGCTATACATCCATGTTAATGGCACCCACCTTTTATTCCAAATGTAGGTCCTTGAGATGGTTGTCTGATGCAGGTAAAGCAGTTCTTCTTCAGGTGTGCTCCCATGGCTTGTGATAGTCCTACTGTAGTGGTGCTCTTTCCTTCTCCAAATGGTGTGGGYGTGATACTGGAATAAAGACAAGATTGCTACATCATGACTGAATCTTTATTTGACCTTCAAACCTTCTAATTTCATTGATGCCCTGTAACACTCTGGGCTGATCTAAGTCAGGACATGACTAACTCACAGATCAAACCCTGAAACAACCTCTGGGCTGATCTAAGTTAGGGCATGGCTAACTCACAGATCGAACCCTGAAACAACCTCTGGGCTGATCTAAGTCAGGGCATGGCCAACTCACAAATTGAACCCTGAAACAACCTCTGGGCTGATCTAAGTCAGGGCATGGCTAACACACAGATCAAACCCTGAAATAGCCTCTGAGCTGATCAAAGTCTCGGGGTATGGCTAACTCACAGATCAAGCTAAACAACCTCTGAGGTGATCAAAGTCAAGGCATGGCTAACACGCAGATCTAATTGGAATTTAGTGGTTTTGTAGAGGGAGGAAAACCAGAGAACCCAGAGAAAACCTTGAATCAAGTGAGAGACCTAACGCAAATTCTACACGCATGTGGTGCCTGAGTCTGGAAATCAAACCCAAGTCCCTAGAGGAGAGAAGCAGGTGCACCACTGCTACACTGCCTTGATTCTCATTATCAGCAGTTGAACATTGCACACACATGTAATCAAGTGTATTTTTATAGATGCCATTGAGCAGACCTTTAATTTTATGCTATTCCATATCATTTCTTCGTTTAAGAGTTAGTAGTGCACGAGAAGACACATGTGCAAACAAAAACAGACTTCCTTGAATGAGTTGTATCCCTATATAACTCATTCAAGGCCATCTTCTTTTACAAGTACTCACAAGTGTACACAATGAAAAGTATCAACTCACCCAGCCACCACAATGTATTTTCCATTTTCAACATCTTTGAGTCTTTCCAGGACATTCAGGGATACTTTAGCTTTCTTGTTCCCATACAACTCCAACTAAACATGATGGAAAAGCTTTTCAATACTTTAACTCACTGCTATCCATCAACTGGTATGAGTTAAGATATTCATATAGCACTCTATGTGCATATACACCTAATTGAAAAAACGTTGTGGGGTTCAAAAAAAGGTTATATCATCAAACAATTATGCTAATTTCATGCATGTTGTTGATCTAGGTCAACCGACTTTGCTCTACTATGCATTTTTACATGTCTATATGCAAATATAATACACATTTTAGAGTACCCAAAATCCTTTTCGGTCTTAGCTTCGATGAAATGACCTTCTCGAACTTGACTACATTTTTTCAATTAGGTGTATGTACATTATCTGTGAGAGGTAGGTAGAACATGTAATAAGCCTTTTCATAGTTTAAGAATCGATTCCACTGCGCATGTGATTTTATCCCGAATTTCTCACCTTCTTTTGTCTAAACCTTCTTTTGTTCTTAATTTAACAAAAGAAGGTGAGAAATTTGGGATAAAATCGCATGCGCAGTGGAATCGATTCTTAAAATATGAAAAGGCTTATTGTAGATATTGAAGGTGGTCACTGCCAAGGTTTAGAACTTTGTACTCAGTGGAAGATGGAAGACTTGAGACGGGACTGACTTCAAAGTCTAAGCATTTATGGAAGATGTATTTACAAAGGCAGCAGTTTCTCTTCATATGGTTATTTTAAGACAACATTGAGTGTTGGTCTGGGCAGAGATTGATTCCATGACCTCCCTCAGCGCAGTCCAATGCTCAGCCAACTGAGGCACCCAGGTGTCTGGCCAGAGATTGATCCCATGATATCCCTCACGGCAGTCCAATACTCCGCCAACTGAGCCACTCGGGTGTCAAGTCATTAAAAACTGCTAAATCTACTTCTGCAGCTATACATACCTCAGATTTCTTGACTCCAATTTCACTGGCCAGCTGTGCTATATCCTTTGGATACTGAGCCTTTGATATTTCTATGTCACTGTGAATAA